TCCAATTCCGCTTAGGTGAATTAAAAGCTCAGCTCAATTGTTAGCAACCTGGTCAAGCTGAGATTTATTTATTTGCCAGTTTCTTTGAATATGCAAAAAAATTTGTCTTGTCACAAAATTAGAAAGATATTCCTGTACTTGACCAATTTTAGAAATTTGGCCAAATTTCTGCTTGTCCTCAAAAAAAAAAACCATGACAGAAATTTCGACAGGAGGTTGTCCTATAAATCATAATAATAATAATAACAACAACAATAATAATGACAATGATAATAATTTGATATCAATTTTACAATCAAAAAATTCAACATGTCCCATAGGTGATAATAATAATAATAATAATAATAATCAGATTGATTCATCAAAAGGATGTTCTAGTGATAATCTGTCACCATCATCATCATCAATAACAATAGATCAAAATCAAAACTCATTATTAAATACAACACGTCAACGTTCTTCCATTCCTCGTGTTTCATCTAATATTGTTAGTAATGGTAATGAAGATAATAATAATAATAATAATATTGATAATGACAACAAGAATAATTATTGGGTGTATCCATCAGAACAAATGTTTTTCAATGCAATGAAACGCAAAAATTGGAATCCTAATACTGAGGATATGAAAGTTATTGTACCCATACATAATGCCGTGAATGAAAAGGCATGGAAAGAAATTTTGGAATGGGAAAAATTACATGAAAAGTAAGTAATAAAATATTTTATTTACTTTTTGATTGATAGAATTTTATCAAGGTTTTTGGTTTTTTTTTTTATAATAGCAAATGTGGCGGTCCAAGATTAATAAATTTTCAAGGTAGATCAAAAGATTTTACACCAAAAGCAAGAATTTTGAATTTGTTAGGGTAATTAATTAGTTAAAATTGTGTGATTGATTCATTATTCATCATCAATAATATTTCTTTAATAAATTTATTTTTTCAAAAAAGATATAAATTACCATTTGATAGACATGATTGGGTAATTGATAGATGTGGTAAACATGTAACCTACATAATTGATTTCTATTCAGGTCAACCAGATCCAAAATTTCCTGAACGTGTTGCTTCATTCTATCTTGATGTTCGTCCTGCTTTGACTTTCAATGGGACAATTGATAGAATAAGAAAATGGGTTAACAGCTGGTTGGTATAGATAATTTGGTGATTTTGTTCAATTAGTAGTAGCAAGAAGATTATTGATTGATTTATCAATTAATCAATTAGAATACATGTAATTATTATACATCAATTAAATAAAACAATGAGGATTAGATTTTATAAGCATCTTTATTTTTTTTTAATTTAAAAAAAAATTTTTAAATTAAAAATTGAATAATAAAACAAATTAATTCCTGCTCTTAATATATAGAAAAGTTGAACTATTTACAATATTTTTTATATATATATCTATGTGTGTATATATATGTATATATATATATATATATATATTAAAAATAAATAAAGAGTTATTTATATTATATAATTATTATTATTAAAAAATTATACTTGCCACAAAAAAAAAAAAGATATATTATTACTTGATTTTTTGTTTTTTAAAAAATGTCCAGTCAAAAAAATTTTCTCAAAAAACACACGTGATTGAATTGTGCAACCAATTTTTGAACCAAACGTTTTGCATGACTTTCATCAGTACCACAAAGATTCAAGCTATGTTCTCTGATAAGACTGACTTCGACTTCAAACCCTTAAGAATTGATATAGTAATGAATCAACATCTACAAATACAAATACTGCTGGTACTGGTACCAATCTAAATGAAACTTACTTTTCCAGGACAACAACAACAACAATAAAAGGAACCAAGTTCCTTTGTTGTAGGACACATTGATAGAAGGAACACTAATAAACTTTGATATACTTTTGCTTATTAGTCATACCACCAGATTTACAACTACTACAAATATTGTTAGAGAAGTTATTGCCATTATTGTCATCATTGCTAACTTGTTGTATTTAATGAATGAAACAGCATCATTCTCCATATATGCAAACTCCTCTTTCTACATAGGCTACGCAAACTTCAGTTTTATATTTTGGGTGATGATTATAGATGGGTGTCTAAATTGTTTTTGGGATTGTCTAAAGTCAAAATAATATTTAGACAAAAATGTCTAAATGTCTAAATTAATATAAATAGTAATGATTTGCTTTAAATACAACTAAAAGTCACGTGTATATACACAAAATCCACAAAGTTCAGTAAATTATCCAATAAAAAATTCAATTTCAGCATTTTAGACAATTGAGACCATGATTGTCTGAATGTCTAAATTAATTTATATTTTAGACATTGTCTAAATAATTTAGTTTAGACACCCATCTATAGTGATGATTAACATGTTGTAATTAAATTAGAGAATGTGCGAATTGGCATCTGTTTCCATATCTGTATTATTATATAGGAAAAAAAGAAAAAATTGATAACTTTTATAACTAATAAAAATTTATAAATGTTATAAATGTATCAAAAATAATAAATACTTGCCTATAAACATCTTTTTCCAAACTGCAGCACATTTCAGTTTTGTAGAAAGAAAAGGTTTTCTTTTGATCTTTGTTATCATTGGTAACAGAAGATGCAACAGAAGGAAACATATTGATTTATTGATGTTATGTTTTTGGATAATAAATGTAAATCTTCATGCAAAGGTAAATTTTGAGTGGTGGATTCAGATCAGAAGATTCCTCATTAATTCCTTTACTTGTTGATGATGTGGAGGAATTACCACCACGAGAAGGAAGAAAAACGGTGTTATTTAATGCTGAAAGTAATAAGGTTTTCTAAAATCATCCTTCTTTCTTCATAACAGTATAAACATTGTCCACCAGAGTGAGCAATTTGTTGTGTCAATAGTAACTTTGGTGCACAAAATATTTTTCGCATTTGGTCATTTAGAACATGAAAATTAGATTTATAAGAAATGTTTAAATTAAAAAATTAAATAATAATATACAGTAATTTATGTAATTTATAGCATTATTAATTCTTACTCTTAATTCAGATTTTTGAGCTGTCGACCTACATATAAATTGACACGTGATTTTCCTACCCTTAACAGTGTTACAGGCTGAATATATTGTAAAAAATATAAGTCTCATAGAAAGATTCCAGATAATGTTATATGGTGCGCAAAGCCTATAACCACCATTTTTGCATGTGATTTTTGAAAGAATAGAAGTCCATTTCTGTTGATCCTTTTTAAAAAATAACTCTGTTATTGCATAGATTGAGACTCAAACTTTATTGTGACAGAGAGATTTTTTCAAAATACTGATTGGTTATCGTGTTCTATTCCTTTTTAGTACATGTATTTTACTATGTTCAAGATGATTTGGCAGTAACACGATT